CTGTACTCTTCTCAAATATGACAACCCCCCCCCCCCCCCTCCTACAACACAGGTGTAATCATTTATCAGCTGGTGGAAAAAGGGTGTTGTGTACCCACATCACACAGCTCTCTGCCCTCTTCTCAAACAGGACGGCCCCTCCTCCTTCACACCGGCGTAATCTTAATTCAGCTGGTGGAAAAAGGGTGTTGTGTACCCACATCACACAGCTCTCTGCACTCTTCTCAAACATGACAACCCCCCCCCCTACCCCCTACACAAAGGTGTAAACTGATATCAGCCGGTGGAAAAAGGGTGTTGTGTACCCACATCACACAGCTCTCTGCCCTCTTCTCAAACAGGACAACCCCTCCTCCTTCACACCGGCGTAATCTTAATTCAGCTGGTGGAAAAAGGGTGTTGTGTACCCACATCACACAGCTCTCTGCACTCTTCTCAAACATGACAACCCCCCCCCCCCCTACCCCCTACACAAAGGTGTAATCTTATATCAGCTGGTGGAAAAAGGGTGTTGTGTACCCACATCACACAGCTCTCTGCACTCTTCTCAAACATGACACCCCCCCCCCCCCCCTCCTACAACACAGGTGTAATCATATATCAGCTGGTGGAAAAAGGGTGTTGTGTACCCACATCACACAGCTCTCTGACCTCTTCTCAAACATGACAACCCCCCCCCCCCCCCCTCCTACAACACAGGTGTAATCATATATCAGCTGGTGGAAAAAGGGTGTTGTGTACCCACATCACACAGCTCTCTGCACTCTTCTCAAACATGACAACCCCCCCCCCCCCCCCCTCCTACAACACAGGTGTAATCATATATCAGCTGGTGGAAAAAGGGTGTTGTGTACCCACATCACACAGCTCTCTGCACTCTTCTCAAACATGACAACCCCCCCCCCCCCCCCTCCTACAACACAGGTGTAATCATATATCAGCTGGTGGAAAAAGGGTGTTGTGTACCCACATCACACAGCTCTCTGCATTCTTCTCAAACATGACAACCCCCCCCCCCCCCCCACCCCCTACACAAAGGTGTAATCTTATATCAGCTGGTGGTAAAAGGGTGTTGTGTACCCACATCACACAGCTCTCTGTACTCTTCTCAAATATGACAACCCCCCCCCCCCCCCTCCTACAACACAGGTGTAATCATATATTAGCTGGTGGAAAAAGGGTGTTGTGTACCCGCATCACACAGCTCTCTGCACTCTTCTCAAACATGAAACCCCCCCCCCCCCCCCCCCCTACACAAAGGTGTTATCTTATATCAGCTGGTGGAAAAAGGGTGTTGTGTACCCACATCACACAGCTCTCTGCCCTCTTCTCAAACAGGACGACCCCTCCTCCTTCACACCGGCGTAATCTTAATTCAGCTGGTGGAAAAAGGGTGTTGTGTACCCACATCACACAGCTCTCTGCACTCTTCTCAAACATGACAACCCCCCCCCCCCCTACCCCCTACACAAAGGTGTAATCTTATATCAGCTGGTGGAAAAAGGGTGTTGTGTACCCACATCACACAGCTCTCTGCACTCTTCTCAAACATGACAACCCCGCCCCCCCCCCCCCCCCACACACACAGGTGTAATCTTATATCAGCTGGTGGTAAAAGGGTGTCTTGTACCCACATAGCACAGCTCTCTGCACTCTTCTCAAACATGACAACCCCCCCCCCCCTCCTACAACACAGGTGTAATCATATATTAGCTGGTGGAAAAAGGGTGTTGTGTACCCGCATCACACAGCTCTCTGCACTCTTCTCAAACATGAAACCCCCCCCCCCACCCCCTACACAAAGGTGTTATCTTATATCAGCTGGTGGAAAAAGGGTGTTGTGTACCCACATCACACAGCTCTCTGCCCTCTTCTCAAACAGGACGACCCCTCCTCCTTCACACCGGCGTAATCTTAATTCAGCTGGTGGAAAAAGGGTGTTGTGTACCCACATCACACAGCTCTCTGCACTCTTCTCAAACATGAAAACCCCCCCCCCCTACCCCCTACACAAAGGTGTAATCTTATATCAGCTGGTGGAAAAAGGGTGTTGTGTACCCACATCACACAGCTCTCTGCACTCTTCTCAAACATGACAACCCCGCCCCCCCCCCCCCACACACACAGGTGTAATCTTATATCAGCTGGTGGTAAAAGGGTGTCTTGTACCCACATAGCACAGCTCTCTGCACTCTTCTCAAACATGACAACCCCCCCCCCCCCCCACCCCCTACACAAAGGTGTAATCTTATATCAGCTGGTGGAAAAAGGGTGTTGTGTACCCACATCACACAGCTCTCTGCACTCTTCTAAAACATGAACCCCCCCCCCCCCCCCCCCACCCTCTACACAAAGGTGTTATCTTGTATCAGCTGGTGGAAAAAGGGTGTTGTGTACCCACATCACACAGCTCTCTGCCCTCTTCTCAAACAGGACGGCCCCTCCTCCTTCACACCGGCGTAATCTTAATTCAGCTGGTGGAAAAAGGGTGTTGTGTACCCACATCACACAGCTCTCTGCACTCTTCTCAAACATGACAACCCCCCCCCCCCAACCCCCTACACAAAGGTGTAAACTGATATCAGCCGGTGGAAAAAGGGTGTTGTGTACCCACATCACACAGCTCTCTGCCCTCTTCTCAAACAGGACGACCCCTCCTCCTTCACACCGGCGTAATCTTAATTCAGCTGGTGGAAAAAGGAAGTTGTGTACCCACATCACACAGCTCTCTGCACTCTTCTCAAACATGACAACCCCCCCCCCCCCCTACCCCCTACACAAAGGTGTAATCTTATATCAGCTGGTGGTAAAAGGGTGTTGTGTACCCACATCACACAGCTCTCTGTACTCTTCTCAAATATGACAACCCCCCTCCCCCCCCCCCCTCCTACAACACAGGTGTAATCATATATCAGCTGGTGGAAAAAGGGTGTTGTGTACCCGCATCACACAGCTCTCTGCACTCTTCTCAAACATGAAACCCCCCCCCCCCACCCCCTACACAAAGGTGTTATCTTATATCAGCTGGTGGAAAAAGGGTGTTGTGTACCCACATCACACAGCTCTCTGCCCTCTTCTCAAACAGGACGACCCCTCCTCCTTCACACCGGCGTAATCTTAATTCAGCTGGTGGAAAAAGGGTGTTGTGTACCCACATCACACAGCTCTCTGCACTCTTCTCAAACATAACAACCCCCCCCCCCACCCCCTACACAAAGGTGATATCTTATATCAGCTGGTGGAAAAAGGGTGTTGTGTACCCACATCACACAGCTCTCTGCACTCTTCTCAAACATAACAACCCCCCCCCCCACCCCCTACACAAAGGTGTAATCTTATATCAGCTGGTGGTAAAAGGGTGTCGTGCACCCACATCACACAGCTCTCTGCCCTCTTCTTAAACAGGACAACCCCTCCTCCTCCACACAGGTATAATCATATCAGCTGGTGGTAATAGGGCACGGGTGGCCAATCTGCGGCCCGCGGGCCACATGCGGCCCGCGAGCTCTTCTTGTGCGGCCCGCGGAGCATTGAAAAAGTAATTATAAAAATATTTAATGAATGAAATGCGGCCCGCATAACAGCGATGAAATAGAGTAAACCATTTACACACAGCTATCTCTATTTCCATAATTTGTTTTCATCATTCACAACATATTGATTCGTTACGTGGCTTATACAAAACTCCTCAAATTCCCTCTCATTACATTACATTAACGACATTAACATCACTCGCCGTGTTAATTTCAGTTTGTTATTTCCACATGCAGTAACCTTTGTAAATATACAAATAATAACAATAATAATAATCTTTTAAAATCCACTCCAAATTTTATTAAGTTAAACCGAAAATGGAAATTCTTTTTGCCCAATCGATCGTGAATCAAGAAATATCTTTGAAATGCCATACTTGTCTTAAAACTTACAACCCTTTTCTCCCGCCGTATAATTTTTTCATTAATCTTAATCGTGGATAGTCCCCTTATATTCTTTCTTCTGTGTCATTGATTTTGTTTGAAATAACAACCAACATGGCATCGATTTCGAGACGTGCGAAGAAAAGGAAAGTTTCAGATGAAGACAGAAACTTTAAATCGGATTGATCTCTGAAGTATTTCTTCATAGAAGAGAAAGGTAAACAACTTTGCCTCATATTTTGTCAGCCAGAAATCACACTAAAAAAGTAAGCCTGATTTTGTTCGACTGATTTTGTTGTTTGCAAAATTGCAGGTGTGTACATGAGTGTGTGTGTGTGTGTGGGGGGAATTTTAGATTTGGTTTTGACGGGGTGTGCCGCTGAACCCATTTTTAAGGGTTGCCTTGTTTTGGCCGATTTTTGTTGAAAGTAAAGCCCATTTTATAAAAAATTCGGGTGTTTGCATGGCTAAAACCCTGAATTATTTTTTAAATAAATTTTTTGAAAACACGGACCCATATTTAGGATATTTCTGTTAAAAATGGGACCCAAGTTTAGGGATTCTTTTTGTAAAAAAGGTTACCCATTAGAGCGGCACACCCCGTATGTCTCAATATGTGATTAACCACCCCCCCCCCCTACACAAAGGTGATATCTTATATCAGCTGGTGGAAAAAGGGTGTCTTGCACCCACATCACACAGCTCTCTGCACTCTTCTCAAATATATATAATTAAATGAAAGTAAAGTGAATAGACAAATATCCACATACATCTGTGAATCTTGATGGGCATCCCGTCTTTCTTTTCCCCCTTTTACCAATATTTTTTTCCTCCATATTTGTATTATTATGTATCAATTGAGGGTAGTCATGCTATCAAGCTTTGCTTACTTTGTCAACCCTCCTGTTTGATGTTTTCGATTAGTTACATGTACAGCCAGCCTTACACTATCCTACATATATTCTTTTGTCATGTGTAAAGTTGCAATGTTTGTTTGTTATATATTTGTAAAAATGCAAAAGAAAAAGAAAATCAAACAGAAATAAAATAAATAAATAAAATCAAATCAAGAATGAATCCTACTTGAGTTGTTTGGCGATTCCTCATCTGAGTCAGCAGCAAAGACCTTCCCTTCATTCAGACGACGAGGGGTCTTGAACACAAGCTTGGGAGATGGCATGCAAGGCTGGGTGGGATGCAAGAAATCGTTTAGATTGAAGCTTGTTTCATTCTCATTTTCATCCTATGGGTGAAAGGGGTAATAATAATAATAACAATAATAATAAAGCGCAACATATCCATCTCTAGATATGCTCAAGGCGCATACAAATAGTTTAAATCAATATTTAACATACTTAAGATTAAAGAAATATTAACTGTTAACTTACATGGAAAAATTAATGCTTGTATGCATGAACAAAAAGTAAATACATGTACTAACAAAATCTTTACATTGCTAAGTTAATGAGGAAAAGCAAGGAAAATGTTAAACAATATCAAGACAATAGTATAAAATACATAAAAATCAGTGCATCTAAGAAGGAGTTTGAACTACACTATAGCAGTTGACAAATCTATTTCATTTATAAGAAACCTTCCCCCCAGAAGGGCACTAACTTATTTATGCAATTTGCGTTCTGGCAATCATAGTACAAAAGATAATAGCAGGTGAATGAAATACTTCATCACCACACACGTCTGGGAAAGAAGCATCTATACATTAGAGTACATTTACTTGATAAGCGACTTCGCATAGTACGTCACATTATCAAGAAAATGGCGATGCCCATGTCGTGCTGAGAAACTGTACTTTATTTTTGCTTTAGTCCTTTCTCATACACTTTGGTGGGGAATCTTGTAGATTTATGGGCAATACTATAATAAATCTCTCAGAATAAGTAAAGATAATACTTGGGGTTCGGTTTCCTTTAACAGTGTTAGATCTGAAAGTCAGCCATTATGCATGGGCTTGTATTAAAGTGAAACCTGTATATAAAGACCACCCAAGGATCGAGACAAGAAAAGTGGTCTTTATAGGCAGGTGGTCCTTGTGCACAGGTTACTTTGGTACATGTTTCAATGAGAAACCATTTTCAAGGGGCAAAAAAATGTGGTCTTTGTACATGTAGATAGGTGGTCATTAAAGCAAGTTTGACTGTATTACTTATAAGATTACCACAGTGTAATACAGTATTCTTTGAATCTCACTTGTTTATTTAATTGTTTATACCGGGCATGGTGGCTCAGTGGTTAGAGCGCCCGCCTCATGAACGGGAGGTCGTGGGTTCGAACCCCGGCCAAGTCATACCAAAGACTTATAACAATGAGACCTTCTGCCTTCTAGTTAGGCACTCAGCATATTAGATTGGAGAAGGGTAGTAATAACATATTATGTTATACAGGGCCCGCTGGAAGAGCAGTTTCATAACTGAAGTGGCTACCCTGGGTAAATAAAACGTTATTATTATTTTTTATTACTCACCTCGTTGCTGTTCTTGTCATCCATATCTTCAGAGTCTGGTGGCTGCAGCATCAGCTCGGAATCAGTCTCTGATCCCGTCTCATCATCATCCTGGATAGATAACAATCATTATATTATCATAAATAATATCGCTAGTGATATTCGTTTGTCTCGCAATGTACAAGGGATCTAACGATCATGACGTTTCGTGCGCCGCTGCAACACTTCGTCAGGCAATAAAATATAATGTAAGCAAGCATGTTTTATACTCTACGGGCGGATCCGACTGTCCTTATAATCTGTATATATTGGTTGCAGAATGACAATATTTTAAACAAGGAAAGATCGAGACCTACTACCTCACAATATACAGTGGTCATATCTATCAACCTCTATATGTACTGTGATTTCAATTGAGTTGACTGATCTTGATTATGAATTTAAAGGGATAGTTGAGTTTTGTTGAGGAGGGCGCTACACAAAATATATCTTTTTGTGAGATAATGAAAAATTGAGAGTCAAATTTGAAAGAACATGCAATTTAAATCACAAAATCGCCTTTATTTGATCAAAATCGGTTTAGAGACGGCTGAAATATCCATAAATATAACCATTACTAATCTTCGTGGGGCACCACAAAAATTTGATAATTTTGAACAAGCCGTTGAAAAAACGAGAAAGCGCCTTAATACGTTTTATTCCAGTCAATGCCAATGTTGGCTTTTTTGTGTTGGTTAGAATAGGCACAACCAGCCGGCCTATGTATTGTTATTATTAATTAATTCATTAATCAACGTTCACTATACTTTTTGGGGGGCGGTCTAAAATTACCTTCATAGCAATTTTAGGTCCTTAAAGGGCACTAGAAATGTCATAAAAAAAGAATAAGAGCAATATCCATGGTGCACTTTGAAGGCATTTGCGGTCTTAAACAAGAACTAAACTATCCCATTAAGACATAGGAAAGGGTCCAATTTTCTGACCAAAACCAATAAATTTCAATCATTTTTATACTGTAGTTCACATGAAATATTAGGAACATTTGTTTTTATACTAGGATAGCAATTGATGAGCAATGAATTGGGGGGGGGGGGGGGGGGGATTATGGTCCTCTTTGACTTTGACCTTATGAACTCGGTTATCACGCAAAGTTTGGGTCTCTCTATGATGCTGCGTATTCTAATCATCAACTTCATGAATCAAACAGATCTTGAAACATTATTACAGGGAACCGTTTCACAAAGCCTTTTTTCAATGACAAATGACAAATATCAGTGACAAATCTGCTGATAACCAATCAGAAGCAAGGATTTCAGTAGCTCATAACAACAATTGTCATTTGTCACTGATGACAAGTTTGTGAAACACCCCCCAGGAGTACATTAAAGCTGACCCTAGGTCATTGGGATATCATTCTTGATGTTGCCATGGTAACATACCTCTTCTGATTGGATGATATACTGACACTTCACATCACCAAAGATGATGACATCACTCTCCCTCAGCTCATAACGAACATTTGGTTTCAGAAACATCTGTGAAACAATTATATATATGAACAACAACAAAATATGAAACTTCTTGAATTACATGCAAATAAATTAGCATGTAAGAAGTGCCTCAAAAAAGTAAAAATCTTTGAGTGACCGGTTTTACCATACTTGTTTTACCCATAGACTGTAGTGGTCAAGCCCCTAATTACATCAAAGAATTACTTCAACTCTAAGTCCAATCACACAGTCGTAGCCTGCCCAGTTCCACAGATAAATTATTGTTTCAGATTCCCCATGACAAAACTAAAGTAACTCTTGAGGACCGTGCTTTTGCTATTGCTGCCCCCAAACTATGGAATAGCTTGCCAATAGAAATAAGAAGCACTCTATCTCTCAATGTTTTTAAATCCAATTTAAAAACTTATTTGTTCACCTGAGTGATCTTATTTTGTAGAATTTAGTAAAAAGGAGCTCTTAACCAGCGCAGCTGAATATATTTTGTATAAAAGCTGTGCTATATAAATTTATTATTATTATTATTATTATTATTATAAAAACTGTTAGGAAAACGCAAAATTTGGTTTCGATTTCCAATTATAAATATCTTGATAATCAGACAGGCGATCGGCCTGTAAAAGTCTTGAGTTTCCTGACTGACCTAAAGGATTATAATCATCATTGCAGCATGAGCTAAATCCAGGATTTTGTTTCAGAATCTGAGACAAAGTTACCGGTTTCCTTTGAAACAAACTCTCACATCAATATAACAAATAAAAAACGTTACTTATAAAGCGCTTACCACCGAAGTCTCTAAGCGCTAAATATGTACTGTACCAATAAGAAGGAATATGATTTGCCTAATTAGTGTGTCAAGTTTGATGACAATCTGAAAATCGCCTCTCAAAATGTTCTATTGAATTCTCATCTTCCTTTTGTCCCTTTGCACTGAACCTCATGAGTCAGCATTAGTTCACAGAAGATGATAAGACTCCAATTTTTAAGCACCCTTTTCTGAAAAATATCACATTCTTTGAGAATGAAATTCCTACTGTTCTTTCAGTGGGTTAGGAAGATCCAATCTGATGGGTGATATAACATTGTGAGGGAAGTTTTATCTTTTCAGAAACAGAACTAAACTAAATATTCCTATCTGGCAACATTTTGTGGTTTTATGGTACTCACTCACAAATGTCTATGGTTATTACCTTGCCTCTCCTAGTCTTATTTCTGCTGTCCAGGTCATAGATAAGATGGGAATTCCCTTGTACCTCGATACAAGCATGCTGCTTAGATAGTGCCTAGGAAGTAAAAAGAATAAGCCACAGGAAAAATTATTTACGAATACACAGCAAAAAAGGTAAATCTTTGAAAAATAATAATAATTATATATAGGATTTGTATGTAAGGCGCCAAATCCACTTAAAATAAAATGCTCAAGGCGTTTTTTCCTAAAACTTACCATTGATTGTGACTTTCATGGAAACCTTGATTTGATTGGCTGTTAAGTGATGTTGAGCGAAGTTACCATCAATGGTATTTTTTATGCAACAGGGCCCTAATTTTGCATCAAATGTAATTGAAGTCTGTACACGTGGTAACTTTTAGTTCCATTCTTCAAGTAATTACCTGCTTTCATTTTAGGTGCAACAGATTTATTGAGAGAGCGTCTGGAATGCGGCCAGAATGCCATTTGCTAGAGGTCAGAGGTCAATGGGAGCAAAGCCATATCGGAAGATGTGACGGGGACATGGACACAGGTCACATAGCCAGAGTATTAGTGGTAAATGTTAATTTTTGTTTTCTCTTCCTTTCCTTTTCTCTCTTTCAAGTAGTTTAAGATTTAAAAGTCTCCTTTTCAACTTTATCAGAGAAATGAATGCTGCACTTTCTGACCAGAGTGGATAGATACATTTGTATAATGTATGTGATTGCTTGGAGTTTGATATCATGGTAAGACTGGCATAGCTGTCAGCCGCGATGCAGTGCATTCTGTTAGCATTCCAGAATGCGAGTAAAAGAAAGTAGCGCTGTCAATCTTGTCTTTGTGTGGATGGCACATTAATGGAGCATTTCGGAATGCCACCGGCCATTCTAACACCATTCTGGAACTAACCCTCGATAGCGCAGCCTTATTAAGCTAAGTACTAGTACCTCCTTCTACATGCTGCAAAAATGGGGATTAAGAAGACAATCGATTTTAGAGGGGAAAATTCCAGGCAGCATTCTAAACAATCTGTTATGCATTGTTTTTCTTGGAATGCATGTAACGGTCACATTACTCAACATGCTTGCAAATGATTTCTAAATTTCATTTTTGAACATTGTTGGACTTTTTTTTAGGAATGCTGTTTTTGCAATTATAGTTATCAGGCATTAACTTATCTTTTCTTCTGGTGTGTTGGCTCAGTCAGTAGAGCGTCCGCCTCACAGCCGGGAGGTCATGGGTTCAAACCCCGGCCGCGTCATACCAAAAGACGTTAAAAGACGGGAGTTGCTGCTACCTTGTTTGGCGTTCAACAATAAAGGGATAGAGCAACGTTGATCTGGCGCTGCTCAGTGGCTGCCCGGGCTCACGATCAATTGGGCAAGAAGAATTTCAATTTTCGGTTTAACTTAATAAAATTTGGAGTGGACTTTAAAAGATTATTATTATTATTATAACTCACCTTGTAAGGCATGTGAATGGAATTGCTGTCATGACGACCGATGAAGTTATCTCCTGCACAGATACAGATACAATAATGTCATCAAAAATAGAATATCAAAGATATCTTCTTACAGAACAAAAACACTTAGTTGATTTAAAGACCGCAACGAAAAAAATACACGGTGGCGACGGGCGATTCGCCCCCTAAACCTCTGAAATCGCCACGGTAAAAATCAAGACGAGGGCGAAAAAAAATCAATATATCTTGAAAAATCGCCCCCGCCATAAATTGATATTCCCTATGAATTAATAAACCAATTTATTGATGTGTCTGAGTGAAATCTCCGTTCCAACTACCAACTCCAAAACTAGAAACTTCCATCAACATTTTAAAAGTTTTGTGAGTTGCAGCGGATCGGCGGTCGTATGTTGAGGTCTTACTGTAGCTAGATCTACAGCGGTATCCGCCTGCCTGCGCCTAAGCTCCCGGCGGCCGGACAGGCCACCGGCCCCGATGTAGTTTCGTGCACAGCATGAATGCATACGCAATTCGCTCACGTTCACAATACACAGAAACGTACTAGCTCAGCTCCAACGCGCGCCCGCACGCTCCTTGTATGAAGCAAATAAGTATTTGCGAGTGACGAGAGCTCAACTGCTAGCGACCAAATTGGTACGTAATATGTGTATTTAGTCTTTTTTTTCTGGCCCTAATTTTTATCATGGACAATGCAATCCCATTAAAAAAATGTTATTCCGTCTAAAATTGTGTTATTTATAAGTTAAAACCATTAAATGCGAGTATATTTTTACTGTTGTCCCACATACTGATATATTTGTAATAACGAAACGTGCAAAATCAATGCCGGATTTTTTTCCTGTAAAATCGGTATAAAGCAAGTTTCGTACACAGAAATTGAATTTTGTTATAAAAAAACCGTAAATAAATATATAAAGGATGTTCCTACTCCTCAGAATCTTTCTTACAACTGTTTAATTAAATTAAATTATTTATATACGATCGATGCCATGCCAGGCCAATTGTCATGAGTGATGATGACATCAATTTCTGTCTACGAAATGAAACTAGCTTTGGCTTGGCCTTTAGAATTAGAGTCTATAAAAAAAAAATAAGGCCATGATTTTGCATGTTTCGGCATAACAAATAGACCCTACATCGGTATGTGGGACAACAGTAAAAATATTTACTCACATTTAATGGTTATAAATGGTCTAAATAACACAATTTTAAAGGGAGTTGGTCTACATTTTTTTTTAATGGGATTGCATTGTCCATGATAACAATTAAATTTGGGACAGAAAAAAAGACTAAATAACATATTACCTACCAATTTGGTTGCTAGTAGTATGATGGCTTAGGAAAAACACAACTTATTGTTACAGCTTACAATATGGCTTTAAGGAAGTAGCCCCTTGGTTTTTTTTAGGCAATGGGGAAAAGTAGCCCCCATAAAAAAATTAATTCCTATAGGCGTGTCAGTGATAATATTTTCTTAGGATATAAAAAACGAACAGTAAAACAAAACGCTCCTTTTGACAAGTTTTAGTTACATGTATATGTAAATCATAAAGCCACACGTTTAACACAAAGTGAATAAATCATGGGTATCTGAATGTCTGCAATACTCTACAGACATATGTACGCTACAAATATCTATATTTGCCTTTGCTTGGAATTTAATTAGGTAAAACCGCGTTTAAAAAAAATACAACCTTTAAAAAAAAAAAGCCCCCCTGAGCTCCAAAATAGCCACCGCAAAATAATTAAGGGGGGCTATTTTTTTAAGGGAAAATCTGAAAAGAGCCCTCGTAAAAAAAAAAGTAATTTTTTGGTTGTAAGACCGTCAATACTACTGGGCCAGAAGGGATTAGACCACACAGCGAGGTCACTGACAGGTGGCTATTTCATTAACTCAGCTCTCAACTAACATAAGAAAAAGAGGATCATGGGGGACCAACAGGCACCAATTGGGGAAGTTTAGGGAGCAAGTAAGTAGGACAGTGGGGCTTTAACAGGACCATGTTGAAAAACAGTATACCTGAACATATTATCATGTATAAAGATGTTTTAATAAACAAAATAAAAAAATAAATTACATATATACATGAGATAAGATGTACCAGAAATAAATGGTGAACATCAAGTTTACTTGGCAATGGCATAACTATGCTTGTTAAATTCCTACACGTATCTTGATAATCATGGTTTACCTTCGTAGATAGGGTGTTTGGAAGCAGAGACATCTTTCTGGGCCAAGATATGAAGAAAGGCAACCTTCGTTATTAAAAAGAAAGGTAAAAACAAAACAAATGTGACTGTGTCTACAATATGCCTCTGCCTAAATTCAGTTAAGATCCTGGATTTAAGTGTTCTTTGTAATATCAGGATGAGAACAAAAAGCCTATTGATCTTTATGACCTTTGACATGGCAATAATGAAACCTGATCACTTGTCCCCACCAGTAATGCACACTAGGTAGTAGGTACAGGTTTTAGGTTCACAACTAAATTAGCTGAAAATAGTGACTGATTTGGAAACAAGAGCTATTCGGACTGCATGTAACTGTCAATTATGCCTCCGCGATTTGTGCAATTCTCACATCCGCACATTTCACCAGAAGCTTATTACCACAAGCGCTGTAAAATGTTATGACCTCTATGAACTTTGACCTCTGAACAACTAACCCAAACTGTGTCAGATCCTCTTCCTATCAACAGCAGACAAATTCAGATTAAATTAATGTTGAAGACATAGCATTGTACTCTATTATTTAAGGAAAAGAAATCATCTGGGAGAGTGTTATTCAGGGTACGCATATGCCTGTTCCCAGCAACCCCCCCCCCCCCCCTTTTTCAGCAAAAGTCTGGTGTGTAAAGCCAATATGGGTTGACCTTTTTCTTTTGTCATACAAGCCTTTTTCAGCACCCCCCCCCCTCCCTTTCAGCAAAAGCCACGTGTGTATATAGTCAATACGGGTAGACCTTTTTCTTTTGTTATGAGCCAGAGAGTTTGGGAACACTCATGGTATCCCTCCGTTCACGGAGTGGGGGGGGGGGCCAGGGGAGGGGGGGGGGGAATGATGTCAGTACCAGTGACTAGAAACAATGTCATAAGAATCTTTCTTTACATTTAAAATTCTGCCCTCATCATATCACTCACAGCCTTTTTCTGTCCTGGTTCATGTTCATGTTCTTCTTCACTCTCTTCATCAGAGAAGTCGATTGCTTGTGTTGCATCCATGCTTCAGTTTAGCTGTGAAGACAAATAACAAATAAAAACACGTACTGATACACTGTATGTTCAATGTTTATTCAAATTAAAGACTGTCACATCTGCCACATAATTCATCAAACCCGACTGTTGAGAACACAGCATTCTTCCAGAATCTCAGGTAAAGGTAAACCTTTCCAGGTTAACTAAACTAAAGCACATCAAAATTTAAGAGAGGTGCCATAAATGTTCTTAGCCTTTTCATGTCATTATTCTGTTAGCTTGTTTAGAATAATATGCTTTGCTGGAGTGGTTTTAGTCACTCCAGCAAAGCATACAGAGTCAATGCTAATGCCCATTGACCTATAGCACTGCACTACGTGTTAATAGGAAGCATTTGAATACATGAATAGTCAATACAGTCATAACACACAGATGCACACAATCATGCCGATGCGGCTGATCGGCAAGTATTTGACAGTGGACTCACAATTTGAATTTTTTTAATTATTCCTTCTAACATCGGAAAGTTGAAAAAAAAAGTTATTTTACTGCTATTTAGGTGTCATCAATCGTCACTAAAGTACCGATTTTGAGTTTAATCAGTTGGGTTTTGTACAGTGGTGTTTGAAATGTTGAGAATCAATAGCACAGCTTTTATTACACAGCCAGGACTAGGGCCTAGATCTAGATCTAGGCCGCTATGTGTGGTTTTAGTACAGTCTCCACATGCTCCACGCCCACGGACCACGACGGAGCAAAATTTTGGATAGACTTCTGAACAAGCGCCTAATCCTGGAATCTTTTAGGTCGTCTGCCTGGGGGGCGGGTGATTCTTTCAACAAAAAAATCAAACATTGTTTCGAACTCACCGTCTATAATTAGGCTACTTCGAATCAATCGCCTCGTTCTGTGTTATGATATTGGAGGTAACCGTGGCCGTGGCTTGGGCGCATGTAGCGTAGCGCGCGATCGATTTCGCGATCGACTCGACTCGTACTCGTGCTTTGTAATTTAGATCTCGAAGGCTGAAGTTGGCCTCAAAATTGGCCAAAATCTCATTGCCAATTTAGCACGCACTAAATCCATTCACTATTGTAACGCATTAACAAGGCACGTACAGACCGAAAGCTTCAGTCTCTAATTTTGATGGTTAATCCACTGAGATTACCTCTAACTGCACTGAGCGTCTTAATTTTATTAAAGAATTCTCCATACATTGGGACACGTAAATTGATAAAGATTTTGAGCGCTAATTTCAGTAAGACAGCTAATATATATATAGAAAGCTAAGGTACTTGTAGATTTGGGGCTGTATCATAGAGCCAGTGGCGGATCCAGGGGGGGGGGGGGGGGGGTGCAAATTTTTAAATTTTCGATAAAAAAAAATGCGTTCACCACCCCCCCCCCCCCCCCCCCCCCCACACTGAGCGAATTTTCGGTCGGCGTGATTTTCAAATTTTCGGGGGCAAAAAAAAAAAAAAAAAAAAATAGTGCTCAATGAATGACCGCATGCGTGTTACCAAAATGTCCGGTAAAGGGGTACTTTTCGTGCGACAAAGTCCGGCCCGAGAGTTGTAAAAAAAATGGGTGTATTTGACTTTTCACCCGGAGATTTCTTTAAAAAGGGGGTGTTTTTTTTCCTCTCATCTCTTTGGACTCCTGAGAAATTATTCCGAATTTGGGGGGGGGGGGCGGTACATTGAGCATTTTTCCGGATTTAGGGGAATCTTCAAGGCAGGAAAAGCCCGCGAAAAACCAGCGGAAGGGGGGTTCGGATATTGGCAGTCCTCAGATAGGGGGTGCATTCAAAAATAGGGAACAAGCTATATGCGTACCCTAAATAACACTGAGTGGGGGGGGGGGGGGCGTGGGGGCGGAAAAAATACAACGCAAATTCTTCATGGGTTGATTTTAAATCTATGGTGAAATCATATAGACCTATGGACAGTGTCAGTAACTATACATTTTTGGAAAACAAGGTGAAAATATATAAACAATTCCATCAACTTTGATTGTTTATTATTGTATGGTTATATATTATTGTTAATAAATACCTCGAAAGAGGATAAGAAAAAACGTCATGTGGTGTGCGGGCGAGCGTAGTTGAGGCATAGAGATCTAGTTTATAAGACTGAGTTGAGGCCTCACGGACAGAATAGGAAAGCACATCGCGCGAACGCCGATCTCAAACTTCAGACCAATCAGTGCGTGGGCGCATAATACACATATTGCCGTAGATGGCGTACGTATATATATATATATATATATATATATATATATATATATATATATCTCTCTCTCTCTCAGATTTCGAGTGCGCTGATAGACGCACTCTAAATACCGAACTACCCAAGACTCTTAATTTATAATAAAATGGGCCTATATGCTCAATCTTATTTCGATATAACGTCACTCACTACTGTCAGAAGCACTACGTTTCAAGGTTAAGGTGCCTAAACAAAATATTAAACACATTAAAAAGGAATAATTATTGTAAGGGCCTACATACAAGTTGATAAAAATTGTCATTTTATTACTTTTTATTTATTTATTTATTTATTTCTGATATTTATACAGGGAGGCACATATCACTAATTTGGTGGTCTTCCATGAGGCCCTGTTTGGTAAGAATAAAACAAATAACAGCAGCAAAAACAAAATAGATAAATACACAAGCATATAAACAGGTAAAATACAAATTAATTGGTATCCCCATGAAATAACTGATCATTCAAGAATCATCCTTGATCATTATTTTACAAGAAATAGGTGAATGGAATTTTCAAATTAAATAATTAAAACAAAAACATTCATTTAATGATCTGATATAGCTTAACGCACGGGATACCAAAATTGTTATATACATATTTATATTCAATTGTTCTTTAACTAATACACTTAGGTTGTTTACAAGTAGCTGAAAATGGATACATTACATGTATGATAACCATGTCAACCAAATGGCATTCTGTCAAAAAAGTGTCGTTCTTATTTATTCATGAAATGATCTGCAATTACATATTTTGAATAGACAGAGATCATACACTCCTTCTAGAGATGAACAGATATAAAAATGGGCCAGTTGCAAAATTATGAATTTTGGACAGAAATGGCACTATGGCTGGCAAAACAGGACTAGGAAGCCTCCAGCTATTATCCTTCTTTATATCTCAACATTTTATGAAAATATGCTATGTTTATATCAAAGAATTTTTTTCCATTGAACTTAACTGAATATACGGGCTGGTTTCCACATTGTAACATCTTCGAAGGGATGGGCAAGGGGCGGATACAGCCGGGACGAGGGAGGGGGCCCAATTTGCCGTGGGAAAATATTTAGGCGGCGACTCAGCCGACAGGCCGAATAAGCGGGGGGGGGGGGGGAGGGGCGTTTCCTTTTCCTTCTTTTTTTAAAGTCAAGCTTTACTACTTCAACCAGAAGGGATTAGACCACACAGCGAGCCAGCGAGGTCACTGTGACAGGTGGCTATCTCATTAACTCAGCTCTCAATTAACATAAGAAAAAGAGAATCATGGGGGACCAACAGGCACCGATTGGGGAAGTTTTGTATATAGAGGGAGCAAGTATAGCTACAAGTAGGACAGTGTGCCTTTAAAGGTAAAAATTACCATTTTTTTTTAAAACCTATTTTTTTTTCCAGGGGAGGGTGCCCGGGCCCTCGCCCCCTGGATCCGCCACTGAGGGGTTTATACCAATGTCAAAAAATAGTATATTTTCACCCTTTGGGATTTCCCCTTTTAGCCTATCCCCTTTTAAGTTCCCCAGAAAGTGCCCTTTTTGCTGGTTAGTTTTGGTTGTTACTTGGAATCTCGGCCATGAAATGACGAAAACTTCTTAAATTTAAACATACCATATTGATAAAGTATCTCAAAGAAATAGGTCCATAAAATTTCATATTTATGTCTCCAATGCTTTTTTAATGATTAGTAACACATATCCGCGAATTCGTGGCGATTTTAGACGCTACGCAATACCCTTTGGTCGAAATTATATGTATAAAAAAATAGCGGGCCGTGGTGGATACTGCCCCCGGCCTTGTTCGGTTACAAAAACAGACAAGATATAAAAAAAACAGAGCCTCGGTCCGGATTGACATGACCTCCGTATATGGGCATCTCAAGGATATGTGCCTTATTTAGCTTATTTCCATAACATTTCAGTTTCGGTTTTATTTTGATTAACTGCACAATTTTTCATCAAAAGCCCATATTTCATTGCTGACGTATTCCCGGTGTGTACATTAAAAAAAGAAGAAAAAAAAGGAAGAAAAAAGAATGACAGCTAGTGCAAACAATTTCCTCGTCAAAGATTTACTTTCAGTTCACACTCAATTTCGTTTCCTTTGAGCTATCAGATAAAAGTATCCTAAAGGGATCAAGCCACCATATAGCTGTTCCGCACTTAAGTGCGCGACATAACCAAAATATACAGTTACACCATTTTTAAATAAAAAACTAAAAAAGAGAGAGGTCAATTAACTTTCATAATTAAAGTTTATTGTATACAATTGTCTTGTATTAAGAAATGAATTTTAGTTTGTGAAAATAGTCAACATTTCGTTACAGGGTTTCCGTTTTAGATTTATTTGAAAGGGTGTCAGCAAGACAAATACGATACAAATCAAGTTTACTATTTTATAATTTCATTGCAGGCTTTTAAATTCTTTGCCAAATATTAATGATTCTTCTTTTTTTTCTTCACTATATATATACAACAATATAATATATATATATATATATATATATATATAAGCAAGATATGCCCATATTTGTTATATGTTTATAATCTCATGATTTGTCTCTTACCATGATCTTCTTGGTATTGAATTTTATATATATATATATATATATATATATATATATATTGGATATCCAATATATATTTTGCTCTGCCCATAGAGCACTGTAAACATCTATAAACGCGCAAGCAAGCACTATAATTATAAGGGCTCTCAGATGCCTTGAATTATAGAGGTGCATCATGGAGAAAGAAAAAAGTAGGCACTTATCAGAAGGGAAAAGGACATGTACATGTAAAAAGTGGAGGCACAGTGTCCCCCCCCCCCCGCCCAACCAAGAATGCCGCTTGTGACTGTGGGCAAACTTGCGAAACTAACCCAGAAAATCTAGAAATAAACCACATTTCAATTTCATTTCGCGGGTCAACTGCCCCCCCCCCCCCCATCAGTACGCCAGTGCTTCTAGTATCCTTCCATGAAAATATATAAATTCCTACCATTAAAAATTATCAGAAGGGAAAAAGCCCGCCCTCCCCCCACCCCCACCCCCCCCCCCCCCCCCCACTCAGAGGTCGGAATGACCGCATGCGTGTTGCCAAAATGTCCGCCGGTAAAGGGGTACTTTTCGTGCGACAAAGTCCGGCCCGAGAATTGTAAAAAAAGGGGTGTATTTGACTTTTCACCTGGAGATTTCTTTAAAAAGGAGGTGTTTTTTCTTTTTTTCTGTCATCTCTTTAACTCCTGAGAAATTATTCCGAATTTAGGGGGGGGGGGCGGTACATTGAGCATTTTTCCTGATTTAGGGGGGTCTCCAAGGCAGGAAAAGCCCGTGAAATGCCCACAGAAATATTGGCAGTCCTCAGATAGGGGTGCTTTCAAAAAGAGGGAACGAGCATATGCGTACCCTAAATAACATTGAGTGGGGGCCGGGGAAAAAGGACATGTACAAAGGATAAGGGGGCACTTTAGGGGAACCTGAAAAAGTGGGGGCACAGTGTCCCCCCCTCCCAACCAAGAATGCCGCCTCATATGCATATTCATGATTACTTTATACGTGTTGACAGAAAATTACACTTATCATAATTGTTAAGCAACTTATGACAATGTACATCAATTTTGTGATTTTTATTTTCTTTTGGCAACTTATGACCAATAGATTATTTATTTAATCATGTTACAATTTCATTCACGTTTTATCAATAGATATATTGATTATAATGATTACTAACC